CTGGGACTCGTCATCTGGATGTACCTGGATCTGAGAGTTGATGTTCACTCCCGGACTCGAACCCGGCACTGTTTGCTTCAAAGGCTATCACATTATTTACTTATCTACTGATTCCAGATAGCTACTATCTAGTGCGATGTGGTGAAGTTTAAATTCACTTGGTATTGTTTGTTTGAATCCTGCTGTTGATGTTTAAAACCGCAATTGGTCAGTTTCTTATTGGTATATATGCATTCTATGTGAATTGTTTCAATACTGTCTTAAATCACAGATATTAAAATAAGCAATACAAAAGTGAATTAGTATCTGTATAGTTTATTTATCAGCGAAACAAGTTTTCTGGAGATTGCTAACTCTTATAGTTTATATCAATCCACTATATGATCGTAGATCCGAACAAATGAGGATTCTTATACTGAAACAAAAAGAGATCCGTTCAGTTCTATCCTATTTATCAATGGTCATTTAACTACTATCAGTTTGTGATACAGGCTAAATTCATTGTTCCTGATAATCCAACTAGTGTTTCTTTACTGATGTGTTGATTAAACTGTTAATTTAAAAAAACCTTCCATAGTTCGTTAAAACCTAATGTCTATTTATAAAAGCAGAAATATAAAAGTCTATGGATTTGTAAAATGTCAATCATTTGTCTCAAAATTGACTGTTCCTTTTACAAACATTAGTCAATCATCTAAGATTTCATTGTTCCTGTATTTTCATACTTATTGCTTTCTGGTTCCGTTCTTTCCTTCTTGATCTTCTTGAACTTCCGCTATCAAATATTCTATTCTTGACCAGAGTTATATACTACTTATGTCGATATAAGTAGCACACACCACAGTTGTAAATTACTGATATCTAACGAAAATAGTTTTAACTTTACGTTTATTCTAATTTACAATGAAAGTTTAATTAAGTTATTGTCAACGAAAAATGCATAACAATAGTAATCAAACCTTCACTTGATGCTGTTCACTTGTATCTTCCCATTGTTATTTAGGACTGCAATTGATCAGTCTCATATTGCCATATGTGCATTCTGATCAATTGTAGTCCGAAATAACAATGGAAAGATTCAAGTAAAACAACACCAAATGAATTTAAACTTCACGCCATTACACAAGCAAGTAGCTATTAGGACTCAATAGCTAAGTGGATAACATGATGGTGTTTGAATCGAACGGTAATGGGTTCGAGTATCGGAGTGAACATCAACTCTGAGATTCAGGTACATGCAGTTGTCGAGTCCCAAATTGGATGGAACGCGCGTCAAACTGTATTCCACTGCTAATCACTAACTATCTTTGCTTAATCATCAAATCTGTCTTATATTCAGGAACTATTAATAGAGAAAAATAAGAGAATTATATAATATTCAATTCTTTCGTATAATAAAGTTTATTTGGTTGTTCAGACTTATTATCTCTTGGCTAAAATATATTGTTGTATGTTTGTCATGGATGATTTTCTTAGCAAAACTATGAGTGGAGAAGGTTTGAAGTTGCTATATATATGGTAATAATAATAATGATAACAGTAATAGTAATGATAGTATGATGATTATATCAGTTGTTTCGTGTATAATTAACATTTCAGTTTCTTACAACTAGGAAACCAAACTAATATACGAATTCTTTCAATGGATAATATTGCCCAGGGCAATTTTTTCCTTTTCTAATTAACCAAGATATTTATCTATCTACCTATCTATCCAAAGAAATTATAACTTTTAATTCGTTCAACATGTTGTTTTATAATTGGTAAATATCACAACATTGTAACAAACTATGTTAGATTATGATCAGCAGACTATATTTTCCCACGAAATTATGGTTCTATTTTATATTTTTCTTTTATAAAGGAATTCGATTTATTTAGGAATATATGTTGGTTATTAATCAGACAACTAATTATTTCCATAAGTTTTCCCTTTTTTTCTTTATTGTTACACATTATTTTATGCTTGTCAACTTTAGAAACAAAGAAGGAACGAATCGAGTGAAGAAATTTGTTTGGTTATGGTTAGACATTAACATCATTGGATGCTGGCTCAGTGGTCTAGTAGGTTAGGCGTTCACACGTGAGACTGAAGACCCTGGGTTCGAACCCCGAGAGCGGGATCATGGATGCGCACTGCTGACGAGTCCCACAATCGGACGAAACGGCTCTTCACTGCCTTCAGGTTTTCAATGGTGGTCTAACATCAATCGGTTCATGATCTCAATCAGGAATAATACTCACCGAGTGGATATGCTACGTATTAATTACATAAGGGCATTTCGATTCAAAATTAACATTGAGTAATTGGAAGAAAGAAGATTAATAGTAATAATAATCAAAGTAATTGTTCGAAAATCAAGCAGTTGTTATGTTACATATTATATGAAAAAGAGAAGGAACAGCATATTTTGATGAATGGTCATTAAAATAGTGGTTGCGTAAGAATTAGGAGGTCATTGTTGAGAATAAGTATAATACAAAGTTCAAAAAACAAAAAAAGTAAGAAAATAGTTTAGTTCTGCTACAAATGCCCCTATACTGATGGCAAAGGTAGCGAAAGTGGTTGTACAAACTTCTTTTCGATGCAATGGTTAGCTTTATGAACATAGATTGCAATGGCTTAAGCAATGTGCAACCGCGCACTCGTAAACCATGTGGCATATTTGATGAAATATGGTAGATAACTTTAAAAGCTTTATTCATTTCAACTTGATGACCTGTGTCAATTAAGTGAGCGAGAATAGAAGTCTCAATCACTTTTACCTGTCCTTTGCTCAACCACGACGGATGGTGCTCTGTTATACGATGACAATCATTCATCAAAATATTCTGTTCCTTCTCTTTTTCATATTTCTTCGCTCGATTTGTTCCTTCTTTATTTACCAATAGTCGAAATGGGAATTTTCACTAAGTTTCACAGACTATCAATCCAGTAGTTTATTTCCTCAAGTAAACGTAAGGGAATACATCTAAAAACAGAGTTTTATACTGTTTAATTATCTAGCTATATGTTGTATTAGGAATTATTTAAACATTTAGTTTGGTAAACTGAGATCGTACACTATGGAGTTTGTGTAAAATTTTGAAACTTTATAAAGATCACGAATCGATCTAAATTTGATAGCAGTGGAATCCAGTTTGACGCGCGTTTCGTTCTATTTCACTGCTAGCCACTATCCATCATTGATTTAAAAAATGCTTGTGACTTAAGACTATACCGAGGCAATTCACACAGGATGCACATATGCCAACATGAGACTGATCAATTACAGTCCTAAATAACAATGGAAAGATACAATGCAAAGTGAATGTAACTTCATCTCATTGTACAAGCAGGTGACTATCAGGACATATTAGCTAAGTGAATAACTCGATGGTGTTTAGAGCGAACGGTACTGGGTTCGAATTCCAGAATGAACATCAACTCTGAGAGGTAGATATATCAAGCTGTTGAGTCCCAAATAGGATGAAACACGCGTCATGGATTCCACTACTAACCACTATCCATCTTTGCTTTAAAAAATCCTTGTGACTTCAAACAATATCGATGTCATTCGTACAGGATGCACATATGCCAATATGAAACTGATTAATTACAGTTCTAAATAACAATGAAAAGATACAAGTCAAACAACATCAAATGCATTTAATCCAGAATATTTTTGTTTTAATTTTTTTTATTTTTAATCTCTAGATTAACAAATATAAGAGACATTTTTACAGCATAGTTGTTACCAACTAAACAGAATTAATAAAATGTAGAGAATGCATAATCCTTAGGGATAAAGTAGAATAAATAAGTATATCACTAACCTAATATATGATATAAAGTTCATATAAAACCGATGATAATCAAGAATTTTAATTCGAACAATATAATCTGATAATGAGTAATTTACCCAACTTAATATACACGCAAATTGTTGTGCACGTAATGAGCTCAATATTTCAAGACAAGGATTATAGTTAGGAAGATATATTCAACATAAAAAAACATTTCGTTACAAAGCTGTTATGATGTATAGAGGGGTGTTTATGGTGATTAATTGAAGTTGTTCATATGGTTACAAATGATGAAACGTTATGACCGTTTGATTTCATCCAAGTAGATGAAATATTCATCATCAGTTACTATAAACGTTTAAGCGTCAATCATCTAATTTCATTAATGATAACTATTTCACTTCAGATATTCTTGTAGGTCATAAATGACAACTCATGAAACTCTCAGTAACTCATTTCAAACTGGGTCACTAGTAAGGGAGATTATATAATTAATAAATAGGTTTTATGGAGACCTTAGCAACAATCGAAAAGAGGAGCCCAGGAAAAAAAGTTGATTGTAGATCCCTAGTTGTTGGTCTATATTCCACAGGTGGTAACAAGTTTAGATAACTAAGGATGTTTATGAAGATATGTTATGGTAAAAGTGAAACAGATGTCATTGGATGATCAGTACATCATTTTATAAATCAACTGAAATCGAAAATTTATACAATTAAATGAAAACCCTGTGATCTTAAGAATAACTCTGAGATTTGAGAATCCTACCTTCAACCTGTTGGATATTCATGAATGTTTGAAGGTGAATAGTTTGATACTAGGACAAGATAGCAATCGAGTGTCTCGTGGTTCATAATAGCATCTCCTCTAAGTTCAGTCCATGATGGATACCACTTACAAATTAATTATTGATTATTTTACGGCATTCTCATTTGTTTTTTCTCCCACAAAGTTAAACCTTTTTATTAAGACAACTATTCAAGAAATAAACCAAATCTCTTGACGAAGCAAGTACTGAAGCTTACGAATATATAGATATCGTTACTGACACATTGTATCCGTTTTTTAAAAAAAATTTCAAAATTGATGAAACGACAGGTCATTTTTTTACATTTTACAATTTCAATTAACAATTTTATTTAGTCCCAGTGAAGTTTTTCATTTTACTGTGAACAATTTCCTTTTTTTTCGAACTTCTCTTTCGTTGACACTAGAAACTACCTATCGCTCCTGATGTAACCGAAGAAGAATTAACACCTGAAGAAATATCAAGACGTAAAGAATTCAAACAAAAACGTCGTTTGGTAGACTTAGAAGGTGCTGACGGATTAAGTTTGAAAGCTGTTCTAGCACATCGTGTCTCTTTGCCCGGTGTGGAAGGTGACGATGAGGTAGAAATGGAAGCTGAGAAAAATGTAGAAGAAGAAGAAGAAGACCACGAAGAAGTTAAAGCTACTGATCAACAATTTGATCGAACAGCTAAGCAAATTCCTAGTGGATCTATCTATGCAACGAATAATGATGATTCACTTTCATTACTGTCCAAATCATCCAAACACCAATCTGATATTGAATGGAATTTCTCTAATATGGAACATGAAACAATTATCGATAAATTATCAAATAGAAAGTCTGATCAATCGGATAGTTGTTGTGAAACAACAAGTATTTTATATTCAGTTCCTAATATTGTGAACACATTGTCAACTTCAACGATTAAAACAGTAGAAGAACAAACATCACCACCAACACCACCACCAATGACAACAATAAAAATCAATAAGGATAACAGAAAATAACTTGCTATTCTTCTATTATACCACTTATCCTCAAATGATTATTATAGGTCATTATCTATATTACATCACATCAATATTTTTCACATTGTGTGTCTCTGTTATTCTCAACATAATCTTGACATGTAAAGTATGTTAAAATTTTACTGTTTACATTGTTTTTTTTTCCTGGATTTTAGTCGTTTAATCAAGTATGTTGAGTCGGGATGGTTTTCTCTCTCTCTCTCTCTCTCTCGCTCGCTATCTCATTATTTCCCTACAAGTTATCAAGTATTTTGGTACTTAGAATAAGAATACACTTGTGTGAAGTGCATGTATACGGAGAGGAAACTGTTTTTCATTATTATATACAATGTATTATTGCATTTTTATACTTCATTTCTTTTATCTATATATTTTGTTATCTTCTAATATTGTTGTTAATCTAAGTTTATTTGTTTATCTAATCATCTATGTACTCATTTAGTTACTTGCTTATTTACATACCTGTATACACCTACATGTTGTAGTTGTCGGGGTTTTTTTTGGTTAAGTTCTAATGTTTCATATAAGAAGAGACTTTTTTGTATTTGTGTGTAATGTAATTTTTCAACATTAGTGATATATTGCCTAAAGGTGAAAATATATAACGATAATCATCATAATAATAGTGAAGTTTAACAGCATTCTTCAAATCAATGTCAACTTATATGAGAGTAACTAATGAGTAAAATAAAGTATCAAGCATATGGATTGATATCTTTCGTCAGTTGTTCTTTGAAAATATACTTTTGGCAATGAAAATATTCCATTCTTCCTCGTTCTCTCCCTCTCTCTCTGTGTGTGTGTGTCTCAGTATATATCTATGTGGACAAATGTGTGTGTGTGTGACTGTGAATAAGGGAATATAGTGTTGACAATGAGATGTGAATGTTGTTTTCTTTACATGATTGAATAATGTTGTTATCATTATTATGATTTTAACACCGGAAGTAACATAGTAATATATGTTTGTCTGTTTTATTTTATTTTTGTGATAAAATAACAAGCACAAACGAATATACAAAGTTGATTATTATCTTCTCATTGAATCCTCTGTGTTTGTTTCTTGTTTCATTTATACTGTAAGAAATGAAATTTCGAATAAATAAAAGTATGAATTCATTTATATTGATTTTTTGAAACGTTTCTATCGGGCTGTTTTGGATTATAATTGATCATTTTTCTCTTTTTTTTTGAGGGGGGATATAAGTGTACTCCGTATAGATTGTCTCCATATTATTAGTAGATTATGAACATTTTAAGCGGTGATGGATGGTGGCTAGTAGTGGGATTTGAGAAGAATGAATTTTATTCTTTTGAGACTCGTCAGTTGAACGTATCTACATCTCAATATTGTTTTTCACTTTAGAGTTCGAATCCAATACCTTTCAACCTAAGCTTTATAACTACTGAGTCCATATAGTTAATAGGATGAAGTCGAATTTATCTGCGTTGATTTATAGAATCTCCCCATTCATTAGAACTGGTCAGTATAGAAGAATTATTAAGTGAATAAATAAATCTCGAGGCAAACTGATTTTTTTATATAAAACAAATGGCTAGCAAAAGAGTTCCGAATTCAAGTTTCATACTATTTGGAAATTATCAAGGGGATACATCTGCCGCATATCAGTGTTTATAGTAACATCAGGACTCAGATACTTCATGTGTTATCCGCCAAGCTACTCAGTCCAGATAATCGCATACATGTGTAACTAATATATGTTATTTTCATAAAAGCTTGCAAAACAATGGGTATGTCAAGGCAATCCTTACAAGATGCACATAGCACAACAAAGATTGGTCGAAATTCTATCCTACATATTAACAACGCAGGGTTTAGACACACTATTTTGACTTATTTTTTACCGTGTGATGAATTCATACTTTCTCTATCTGACTATCTATTAAGGTCTTTGAAAAGATGAAATATGTGAAATTTTTTATCAACGAAATCTAAACAACTGTAACATTTCGCTCGAATCTTGGTTGATTTTCTTCAGGGAAATAATCAAACATCTGAAATTACCAAATATAAGTATTAGTTTATACAACATGAACATAAAAAAACAACCTGGAAACCCATGGTAAAAACTGGGTACTTGGTAGACTTCAGTGGAACTAGACCGACAGCTAAGGCTCTGTATATCTAGGCAAATGTAAGCGATCGAATGATTGATTAGTTGCATTATGATAACTAATGACAATACAGTAAATATAAATTTAGTTTTCGACTTTTTACTCATCTCATGTCTTACATATATAGGCAACATACTTTACTTTCTTTCAATCAGTTATAATGTTTGCATATTTCATGAAAAACCAGTCTATTTTCTATTATCAATACAAAAAGTCATTTATTTATTGACTCTTATTTCGTGCATCCCATGACAATTTGGGATTATGACTGACGGTTAGGTTAAGTAATTTTATTCACGACTATAATTTATAGCCAAATATTTAGCCTACGGTTATTCACATGTGATTTGTATACACATTCACTCTCTTTAAGTTTCACCACATTCTACACTACATAAGTTATATTCACAATCACATGTTGACCACTTCCAAAATCATCATCTAAATACCATTAGGTAATGGTTTAGCATAAAGTAGTTATTAAAACATTATTTACAATTGATGATTTTAGATTCTTGATTATATCTCTGATGAAATCCGAACGAGGCTGTCGTGTGAAATTTCAAAGTCATTTAATGGGAATATTACATTGTGGTTTCCATTTTAGTATCCTTCAGTAAGTCGTTGCCCAACTATTATAAAACTATTCGTTCATCTTTGACAGGAACTTCCTAGAAGATATCATATATTGAATTATGTATTAGGTAGTTTGACGTTAATACAATTTAATTCTGTTCTTTCTTTATTTAAAAAGAAGCTAATTAGAATAAGGATAAGATCTGCTAATTTGAAAAAAAGAGGCCCAATAACCCAGTTTCATGAAAGTTAAAATAATGAACAAAGAAAACAAGAAAATCGAAATTACAAAAATACTAATTGAATCACATTGATCAAGTTTAAACAAAACGAAAAGTGGTTGTGTAGTGAACAGAATACAAGTGGGGACAATCGAATGTATGTAACTTGTTAATAGAATCTAGGTGAACGCTTAATTTGCAAAATGTTCATCGATTGTCCCAAAGTGACTCAAACTTCATTGTTCTTGCATTTCCATACAAATTGCACTTTGTTTCCATTCTTTACTGTTCGATCCTCTTGTCTCTCTGCTGCCAGACCTTCTGTTCACGACTAACATCATATACTACTTATGTCAATATAAGTAGCACACACCACAGTTGATATGAATGAATAGAGAATTTTAGTCAGTTCACTAATAAATTATCTGGCATTTATGTGCATTAGCTTAAGTTAACTTTGCAGATTGGTATTAACGACAGTAAATTATCAAGACAAACGTCGGAACAGCGGTAGTGATAGTATTGGTATTGGCATTGGCATTAGTATTAGTAGTAACGATTATGTTTCGTGATGGCAGGTTTGACGAAATTAATAATCTGTGAAAAGTTTAAAATATTCAGAATCTCAATTCTGATAAAGACAGACTCGTGTAATCTTTCATGTGTTTAAAGAAGTATCATGTCTAACATCACATGTATTGCATGAACCCTAACTAAATAGTCTGGAATTAATAAGCTTATTTAGCGTTATATACTTTAGATTTCAATACATGTTGACAGTTATCAAGAAAAGGACGTACAGCACAATCATGATAGAAATTTATACTAACGTAAAGATTCAATGTTAAGATGTTCTATCTATCTAACTATGATACATCGCAATATTTAATCCCTTTAGACTGATAATCAGATAGTTAAAATTAAATCTACTGTATGGATTGTCAGCCATGTTTAGTTTTTTTTCAATGTCAGTTAACCCATTGACTTAATCATTCAATTATAACTGGAATAACAATACAATGATGGATATTATCAGTTCCGTGTTTGCATCAACTTATATTTCACTGATATTCGATAAGAAAAAATTAGGAAATTTAATTCACGTAACTTAAGTATTTAATATAAACAAAGTTGAATGGTGGCTGGTAGTGAAACCCAGGATGCGTGTTTCGTCGTATTTTGGACTCATTTGCTAGATGTACTTGCATCTCAGTGTTGATGTTAACTCTGGGACTTGAACTCAGTACCCAAATAGGATGAAACGCGCGTCTGGGATTCCACTGCTAGCCAATATCCATCATTGTTTATAATGTTTGTGAATTAAGGTAATATCAAGGCAATCCACACAGTATGCACCTATGTTAATAAGAGACTAATCAATTGCAGACCTAAACATCAATAGGACGATTCAAGTGGACAATATCAAGTGAATTTAAACTTCACCCCATTGCACAAGCAAATGGCTATCAGGACTCAGTAGGTAAGTGAATAACGTGATGGGATTTGAAGTAAAGGGTACTGATTTTCAGTCCCAAAGTAAACATCAACTCTGAGATGCAGGTATATCCATTTGACGTGTCCTAAATAAGACGAAACACGCGTCCAGAATTCCATTGCTATCCAATATCCATAATTGTTTGTAATGCTTATGATTTCAGGCAATATCGAGGCACTTATACTAATAAGTGACTGATCACTTGCAGTCCTAAACATCAATCAACAAATCAATAATCAGGAAAGTTAAAATAAATAAACATTAAATTTATTTCAATTAGATAATCACTTTAACAATGACATCTATGTACATACATCGTTTCATTAAACGAATCTTAAATATCTTTCCAAATGTTCAACCTTTACAATATTGAACATAACAGATCTCTTATGAAAAACAACCGGAATTTGAAAAGCTCAATTGATACATAGATATTACTTTTGTTCGAGTTGTTGTTATTCAGTATGTGTGTTTTATATTTAAGGTCAAATATGACACATGAATTGATTCATATAAGAAATTGTATACTTTATTCAATGTAAAATAATTTTCAGTATAGGGTTTGTGGAGATTGTTAAATTTTGATTGAGATCATGAACCGATTGATGTTA